GACAGTAGTGTGCTAATCAATCATACCATGAGGCCAATGCTTGGCCAGGTCAGACGGGCATCAAAGGAGTGAAGCGACATCCACATGGTGCTCATTCAGGTCTCCTGACACCGTTTTCTTCCACTGTGTGCGCACTCACGTATATATTTACGCACATGTAAACACACGTTTGTGTTCACAACCACAACGGATTATCATGTCACACGCACACAAAGAACAAAAACACACGTGTACATGTATGAATACTCACTCTCAGAGAACGGAGCCCAGAGTCCTTCACCTCTGTCCATTTTTTGTCTGAAATAATCAGACAAGAATGTCTGTTTTTGGCTGATTTGAAATAAAATTGTATAAAAAAGGAATAGAGCCACAAACCAATGCTGTTAATTTATTTGCGACATTTACCACAATGCCCGAATACATCAAGAGATAACGGTAAGGTACAATCTCAGATTGCAGACTGATAGTATTATCTCACCAGTGTGTATCGTCCTAATACCCAACCCCAGTTATTAAAGGTGTATCTTCCAGTCTTGCACCTCTATTGGCTTTTTATACTTTTTTTCAGGAATCTCACAAAATACAGCAGAATGAAAACTAACTCGGCCTCTTTCTTGCAATAATGCACGTCAGTACTGGTTAGAGTATATTTGCTAAAGTGGGAGGGACAAAAACACAGATTGTAATAGCTGCTTTGAAAGTAGCTTTTGCATCCCTCGTAACATCAACAATCTAAAGGGATGAGAAGTGAAAAGCGGGTTTCTTTTTGTTTTTGTGCAAACAGCAGCACAGTGGAGAGGGCAGAGCTGAGGCCAAGTTTTTCAACGCAACACAAAGAACCAAGTGAATGTCTTTCACATTAGACATGACAGTTTGCGCTCTCTGGAATACATCAGCCATAATACGTTTTTTTGTGTGTGCGTGTTGTCCCTGCTGCCATATTCATACACACACACACACACACACTCTGCACACAGTAAGTCTTAACCATATACCATCACTTCTTTCGTTAGCATTCCGTCTTCATCAGCGGCTAACATATGGTGTATAGGGTTACAGCAGACAGGCACGGGGATGGCTGCAGAGCAATAAGATAGCAGTAATGGCACACCATCATTTAGGAGAATGTAATAAGTGAATATCTAATAAGCCTGTAAAAGATGCTTAACCCCTGAAGCTCCGGGGTCAGGTACAGAGATAGGGCGAGTAAGCTGATTAGGGAAGCTTTCTTCTCAAGTTGCGGTCATCGCAGCATTGACCAACTCCTGACCCCTGTCTTGTGGTTACCACGGCCTATGGAGCCGCTCCCGTGTTTGGATAAATCCGTTCTTTATGGCGTTTGATAACAGCTTGTGCCTGATATGGGAAAGTAATAGGTTATGAATCTCTGTGTGGAGATAATGTAGAAGTTAATGGAACACCGGTTATCCACCTTTGCTCGTCATTTGTCACCTCGGTTCCTAACTGAAAGCTGTGAGTAGCGCCTTCCACTTAAAATCCAACGTTCGGAGAAATCTTAATGAAAGAATTGCAGCAGTGAGCGGTTTGCCGTTTCTGATTTTGACACATAAATACCGTTCCTAAAGGCACTGAACGGTCCATGAGACTCTTTATATTGATCCATTGACTGATTTGTTGTTTGGTGATTGATTGACAAGAGGGTAAGTTGACCCGTATCCCCGGAGTTGCTTAAATAAACTGGAGCAGTTGGTTCTAGATGGGATCCCCACCTGTTTCTCGTATGATGACATAGCTTTATCCCCAAATGACAGATTTGGTAACAGACAGGTAAAATGCGCCATACTCAAAATGAATGATACATAGGATTTAAGAGCAATCTCTGTCTCTCTCTGCTTCTTTTCACACTAAAGAGATGGTGTGAACACACACACACACACACACACACACACACACAGAGAGAGCGCCAGATCCTAAAGCCATTTTCAGGCAGGGCAGCAGAGTGTGTCCTCATTACCGTCTGAGAGTGTGTAGTCACCACTCAGTCACAGCTCCTGCTGCCAGAATGGGATTTTCCCATCTCTTCTCCTCTGACTCGTCCACATCTTTCCCACCTAAACTTCTCGTGCATATCGCTTCATCTATTTCTCCGACAGAAAATCATTATCAGTCAGGAAAGACAATTTCCTGCTCCCATAGTCCCTCATAGTCAAGAGTTTTTGAAAACCCTGTATTTAAAATAAAATCATTATAGTTGGTCACGTTTCAAGCAATGCAATTAGCAGACACCCTAAAAAGCAAATTGAGTAGTACGATTGTATTTTTAGCCCAAAAATATATGAATATAATATTGAAATTATAGATAAAACTCTTGACATATTTTTGTGTGTACATTTAAACACACTGTCCAGTTGAACTCTCCATGTCTGACAAGGTGAGCACGACTGTCGGTAAAAAGTTGCAAAAGTAGCCGAGGATTTCGATTTGCCAGCTGGAGCTCAAAGGAGGAGGGAGCGAAGCAGAGCACACACAGGGATATTAGACTGTAATGGTGACCAGTTACTAAACAAGTCTAAATAGCCTCGCACTTGGCTCCTCCTAACAGAGGCATTATCTGACTCTCCAGTTGACCAACTTGAGAGCATAACAAAATGATGTTTATGGATATTTGCTCTGCGCTTTCTCCCAGCAGCTATCTCAAACTGCCACATGTTTTTTCTGCATGAAGTCCGGAGGCTGTGATTCAGTCATTTAGAGCAGGACGGTTGTGCTCTTAGGTGAGTGCAGCAGAGTAATCAGGAAATGCATGGTCAATGTATTCACTCGCACTTCTTACACATTCACCGTGGTGGGCACCTGTCCGCTTCGATCCTCTCACTCTGGCAGGTTGAAAGAAATAACGTCGAAGTGGAAGAAACAGGGACTTGGAGCTGGTGGAGGGGAAGTGGAGGGAGTTCTGTTGTTTGCTTCGGTTAACTGTGAAGCGCTCCTCTTTTATTTGATCTCTCCGTTTCTTTTAGAAAAGCCCCGAAGGAAGTCTGCAGGGAGTTTTTTTATTTTTTTTTAACAGCAGCAATATGTGTGTGTCTTAACATCAGACGAGAGGTCTGAGCCCCGGTAATCGAATTTGGTATCATGTGATTGGACATGACAAGGGGAACAGGATGGGGGAGCCATTCACCTGCTGGATGTCTCACCAGTCTCACACACACTCAAGCACACATACGAAAACACGAGTGTCTCCATTTTTAGAATACTTAGCCAGGTCACCACTAGTGGAAAAAAAAAAAAGAACAAAAAAAACATGGCTACTCTGTGTGCTGTTCACCCATCTGGCCTGATGGAGCCTCTTCCCCATGGTGCCGTTTTACATGAAACATTCTGTAGCTTCAAAGCCTTGTTACTGCCTGTTCAGCCATAATGTGCCATTATACATGGCATCCAAGAGCATGCCGGAGCACAAAGGGAACCACATGTGGAGCACTCCAAGTGCCCGGAGCTATATATTACATATGTTACATACTGTACGCAAGATGGTTGTGTGTGTGTGCGTGCGTGTGTGTGTGTGTGTGTATGTGTGTGTGTGTGTAGGAGAGAATCTACATTACATAGCTACAGCTGGTCGAGAGGAAAGACGGCTAAATACATGCAGTTGATTCAAAAAGCATAAGATTATTCATTTCCCTTCTCCTGTGGGAACAAGCTCCCGCTCCACAGTGTACACACAACACACACACACACATAAAGTCTTGGCCAGTGAGTCTGCGTGTGCGGTGACATCAACAATCTGCTGATTGCATGTTATTTAATACTGTAATATGTAGAGTTATTTAGGAAAGTGCTGGTGATAAAAGCGATGAAGGGGGAGACGGGAAGGAACTGAACATGAAAGACAAGTTTGTAGAGACAAAGTTCTTCACCTCGTTTAAGTGATGTTTGAGTCCTAAGCTTGTTTGTGGAAGACAAAGTTTCCAAGTGAAATGGATTTCTGCAAATGAAAAAGCGAAACAAAACAACAACATCAGGGCTAAGTAACTATTTGAAGGTGCTGTCAAAGGCTTTCCCTGTCTTTGCCCTCCTCCTTTCATCTTTCTCTCATCCCCTCGCTCCGACTCCTCCCTTCCCACTCTCATTAGCGATCGCCGCGCGCGAGAGAGAGGGGGAGAACAAAGCCCAGGACCTGCCAATCGATCACCGAGCAGCGCTATCAATCGACTGGCGGAGCACAGGTCTCCTCCATCCGCCCGCCGATTGACGGGTCAAAGATTGATGAGGGAGATTGTTGTGTCTCCGTGTGCGCTTGTGTGTTAATGCAACAGAGAGCGCATCTTTATTCGAGATAGATTACAGGCCATTTAATCGCGTCTTGTTTGTCTGCCGCACATTTTAATTTGTGCTCTGATGACAAATAAATGAAGACAGTATCAAGAGAACAACACGTGTGAGGTATGTGCTTGCGAAGGCGTGAATACACACATGCTCCGAGGTGCAACAAAGCCCCCCAGACACTGACAGATATTTGTTTCGGTGGATACTTTTCACCCTGCTGGCACTGAGTTTTTTGCCCTGGCACCAGTCAACACAGACACACACACACACACACACACACACACACACACACACACACACAAGCAGAATTAAATCATATGCTGGCATGGAGTCACACTTTACCCTGGCACGGTGTCACTGCCTTTCACTGCCGTGACTCATGCCAACGCTCTAATGGATGAATCCTGCAGCGGTCTAAATAAACACGTGTGTGTATTTCAGAGTGTTACCGTGTGTGTGTGTGTGTGTGTACATTATCAAGGTGTTGTGCAAACATTGGAATTATGTGTCACAACTGGCCAGATGACTTGCCCAAGGTTCCGTCTTCGAATTTCTGTGAGTCGCTTTGGGAGGCTGCCGCCATCGCCATCGCCATCGCCACATTTGCATGAGGAGAGGTTGTCAGACTAACACCTTCTCTTGTCTCTCTCTCCCTCCCTCCCCCCTCCCTCCCCCGTCGTCCCGCACTCTCTGTATTCCTCTTGTGTCCGCAGCTCTGATAGCCATAGGCCAGTACAGCAGCACCATCGAGACGGTGGACGCCGGCTGGTGTAAGGACATCACGGACCAGGGAGCCACACAGATCGCCCAGAGCAGCAAGTCCCTCCGCTACCTGGGCCTCATGAGATGTGACAAGGTAACGAGGCTCGGCCCATTATGTCTGCCGCTGTCTGGTTTCCTGTCAGTACTACACAGTATATACTGCAAAGTGTGTGGGGTGCAGTTCTTTCAAAAGATGCTTCTGCCGATGTTTTTAAATGCAGAAAATCAGAATTTTTTTCTTCTTTTAGTGATGTGAACTGCAAAAAATTTTTAAACATCTGATGTCGATGTTTAAAAATAGACTGTATAATTGTAATAGTACAATCATATGCATTATGCATGCAACCGTGTGTTTAAATCCAATATTTCCAAGCAGCAGTCCTGCTCAGCGATGCCCATATTGGCTGATACAGTCATGCTTTTAAGGAGATACTGACATTGGTATAAATGGTACATGAAAATATCTGATGTATATATCTGTTGCACAAATGTGCCCATACATAAACACAGCTACATAATCACACACATGAACTCCTCAAAAGACCCAGGCAACGGGCCAACAGAAAGTATCTGGAGGAGAGCGCGTGGAGTCGCTAAGCCGCCGCTGCCTGTGCCCAGTGCGTCCAAGTGATCAGCCTGTCGGGCGATAACCGACGTAAAGTGACACGATGACCCCTCTCCAACCTACTCGTCTCTGGGTCTGAGAGACGGTCTTTTTCCAAAGTCACCCTTTAACTCTCATCTGGCCTCTTACCCGTCCAATCGCCAACCTGAGGGAAGCGCATGTAGTTGCAGTGCCATGGCAACAACTCCACCCACCTCTCCAATTGGCTCAGCGGAGCTCCTGCCACACAGATGCATCCACTTAGTGTGGGATCATTCAGCGTGACATGAGTGGGATGAGGGCAGACAAGGCAGGGAGCATGAACAGCTGCCTCGACCCAGAAACTTTACAGATATTGTGCAGCCTGGTGTCTTGTACTGCAGCCTGACACACAACACCAGGCCATAATATCAATGCTGGTGGGCCTGCTGAGTGTAATAATATGTTTTAATAGGCCTTTTTTGTTTTCCGGCTAAATTTCACATTTGGGTTTTGGGCTAAACTAATTTAAACGCCCCTGCTGCGCTGTAAAAGAAGTGCGAGTGGATGTTGGCAGGGGAGAAAATGAGGGAGGAGAGACTTTGACTTATAGTCGAGGCCTTTCACCAGGCTGGGAACTCATCATTTTTATTTCTGCATTATAAAACCCTGCATGTCGGGGCCTCGAGGTTGACCCTATGGATTTTTCCCGATTAAAAATGCCCACTCCCAGAGATCGTTAAGTGCGACAAGAACGGTGGTGTATCATATTTATCTATTTGTGCCGTAATTAAATTAAAACATACGAGGGGTCCGCCGGTGACTCCATATGTAGGGTCTCAGTGATGAAGCGACGCGCTCAATTCACATTATTGCAGACGCCAATGCGTATCTATCATATTTATCTAGGAGTAATAAAGAGTAACTGCATTACATAGCAGGTGATCACTTAGATGCCCATTTTCATTTAGTTCCCCCGCTGCCTCGCCGACTCAGTGACCCAACAATCGATACCTCGGGCCATGTTAATAAAAATCTGCTCTGGAATGTCGCACATCTTTTCTGGAATAACAGTTTTTTTTATCCGCTCGTCTCCACCTTCCGCTTTCACGCTCCTGCCGAACAAACTCACCCATGCCCTTTATTCATCTCTCCGTCTCTCTCTTTTCATGTGTGGCATTCATACTCATAATTCCAGAGGATGGAAAGATGAATAATTATTCTTCCTCTGCTCTGAAGGAGGGGATTTGGGGATGACGGAGCTAAATAAAGCAGTAATCGGTGCTATTGGAGTTGTAATGGAGTGTGAATCGAGCAGAGACAAGAGTTTGACAGTTTCCAAGGTCAGGTACGTTACCAGCTCTGCATCGGGAAAATTAATTCACTGCATGGCGGTCCCCTTCACCCATTTCTCCGCCCTAAAACTTTTGTTTAGCATTGCAAATGAGCCTGGAGTACTTGAGGTGAGCATCGGTTAGGCTTGTACCTTCTTCCATTCTTTGTTGTGTTTTTTATATTATGTTAGGCGTGGAAGGGAGTTAGATGAAGTCAGGCTTCAGGAGAGGGAGCGGGAGAGAGGAATGGCTGTAATACGAATTTCGCTCCGAGGAAAACAAATAAACAGAAATAGGTTGTCGTTACCGAGGTCACGGCAAAAAAAAAAAAAAATAGAGAGAGAGAGCCGCGGAGCGAGTTAAAGAGGTAAAAAGGTGAGAAGCAGTGAATTGTGGTCATCTACAAGTCAGCCCAGGGCAGCAGTGACCACGCTCTGCCTTCTCCTCGCCCTCCTGTACTCTCATCTCGGCCCTCACACCTCCTGCCCCTCCTGCTCTCCTCTTGAGATCCTTCAGTCGTCTCTACAAAAGATCCGTGCTTCTGTTTTCTCTCTAACATTTGATTGGAATTTTATGTATCTCACATTGAGGCATTTTCCTGCAGCTGGCACTCTGCTCCGAAACAACTCTCAGTTTGAGGGGAGGTTTGATATCTTTTATCAGATCGCATTATAGTCCGATTTCAGCGTGGGACTTTTCGGTTTTGGCTTCACTTCTTCTGTTTGCTCGAGGAGGTCAAGTGGCTTTGAAAATCTGATCGAATTACACACATTACATTTTCTAAAAATAGAACCGTCACAGTAGTTTTTAAACTAATTACAATGACAAGTGCTTTGACCACTGCTTGGTGAGAACGGGTTCACAGTGGCTGTAGTGTGTGTTGCATGCTGTGTCTCCTAAATGAACCAAATCAGTGTTTTAAAGCACTTGTACATTTTTATTAGTATTGCCGCATTCAATTTGGTCGTGTTTTTCCTGGTTTGCATTTGACATTTCAGCCTCTAGAATTTGTATCACGCTTTATTTGTGTATCGCAGCAGTAAAATCCGGAGGCATGTCCAATTCAATCTCGGGGCAAACTAATCTCATCTCTGCACTTAATGCAGTTCTGGGAAGACGCAGAAGCTGGAGGATAACTCTCAATTCCACAAGGTTCCCACATAATGAAAGTCTTGTGCAAATTACTTAACTTTGGATTTCTCTCCGCCACAGCGTCTTGTCTTTACGTTGACAAATCCATTTGAGTTTTTTATTTTATATTGCTAAATTGTTTAAAATAACAAATATGGTGTAGCAGCTTTGCCCATGCGTCCGCTCGTCTCTTCCTCATCCCAATGTTGACGGCGTGAATGACCAGCGTATATAAGGTCAACAGTCTCATATTCCTTATTGAGGAGTACATTCTGGAGTAAAACGCGGGACAAGGACAGGAGGGGATTCCAGGCAAAACTCCTTCAGTTCAGAATGTGTTCTCTAGATTTTGGATGGTGCTTTCTCAAGTTGCTCTAACACTCTTAGCTTGACCCCCAACAGCCTCCATTGGTTTAGCTCAGCTCCAGGATCTACACACTTGAGGAAACATCTCAATATTTACCCGTTAAGCCGACCACTGTCCGAGCCAACATGCTGTCTTTGACAGTGGCCCCGGACCTGAAATCATCTTGATTTGCGTACCAGCCGTGAATGTTTCCGCTGCGAATATAAATTGTTATATACACATACACGCAATGGTGTGCTTTGGCAAGTGGTGAGATCTGTGTTGACAGTGTTTTGGACATATTGCAAATATTCCCAGAGTTAATATTTCCCTTACAAGGACTTTGCTTGGTTTTTCTTTTCAGGATGTGTACGTTGCAGGAATTTAGTAGAAATAACTGCAACACAGGTAGAAAAAAAAAAAACCCGGTGTAGTTATAATATCACAGTAATAAACAGTCATTCATAGCCTCATCAGCATCAAGGCTAGCCGAAGCCCGTCTGCTATACAGATGTTCAGGGAACTCCTGCGGCCTACATTTGGCTATTTAAAACAAATCATGGTCCAACTTTCGCTCTATTTCTTCCTCTCTCCCTCCCTCACTTTGTTCCCTTCTCCCCCACGCCAACTGATGTGGAGTTAGGTTTCAGACGGGGTCCCGTCATGTCTTTGACAAATCCGGTCTTGTGATAACCTTGACACACAGCACGGACAACCCAGCCAGCCCTCCGCCATGGCAACGACAGCTCGGCCTGTGCAAATTTGCTTGGAATTGTCAAAACGCCGGGAATTTTAATGTCCCAGCTTCCCTGAATGTCACAGGACTTAGAAAGTGTAGAATTCATTTTAAGAACTGTTAACAGGATCCATCTGGCTCTCCTCATGTGGAGCAGTGTGAAGGATCGATTTCCTCCGTCACAGTTTATACAAACATGCTTCCGTACTGTATACATTTTACTGCCAGGCAGCCTGAATTCTGTGTCCACTGCCATTTGGACTGATATGAAGAATTCAAGATTCTTTAAAAAAACAAAAAAAAATTTTTTTTTAACTCTGTACAAACAGACCGAGCACAAGCACAGATCCGTGTGCAGTTTTGATTGTCAGAATATTTTCTTATTTAGAGTGTCCTTTCAGAAGCTGGATGAAATTGGGTTGTGATAGTGTCATATGTGTGCCTTTGTCCCACTTGTCTTTTTCTCTCCTGCCCGTCTGAAAGATTTCCTTTGTGTCTCAGTGTGTTTACACGCGCTCAAATACGACGTGTCCTTGTGAAACTGTGTGTGTCCTCCGAGAGGAATTTATGTTATTTGCTGTGAACACGGCTCATAATGGAGCATTGAAATCAGAGCCCCTCCAGGCACGGGCGAATGGCGTGCTCCGCCTGCCTCAAATGATTACACCCCTCTGCCCTCAGGGCCAAACGAGCCGCTTCTGACGAGGGGAAGGAATGCGATTGATCCAGACTCACCCAAAAAAATAATCAAATCAATTCATTTCGACCCCTTTTCAGCTATGACTCTGTTTCAGTCTTTTGAAGCATTCAGCTGAAAGAAAATAGGGCCTCAGTCTTCTGAAAAACTGAGCCGTTTTTTTTGGCTCGGCAACGCCACGCATGTTGGCGAGAAAAAAGCACGGCTCCCCATTGAGTCTGCTGTTAAATGTTCGGCCTTCTCTGTGGCAGGAATTCGTCTTTCTACACTTCCACAAACACGGTGGAACATCGTGTATTATTTCCAGGCTTTCGGCTGGTGAAACTCAGTTCACTGCCGTCTGAGGTAATTTTCAACTAAAATTACAGCGATGTAGTAACAACACTCTGCTCACCGGGCTGGGCAGACACAGAGACGCTGAGGCACAAACGCACATAAACATGCCAAAGTCACACAAATGCTGTTACATGTATGGATTTTTTGGTGAACCACAAACGTAAGACGAGTGTCCGGTCACAGGGAAGCTTAATTCATTTGTGCAGAAACACTCTGTAACTCATTCTTCTCTGTTGATGTATCACTTTGGGGAGTTTGATCTTATTCAGACTCAGTGGAATGTTTTCTTTCAAAGCGTTTTCACAGCTCAAATGTACATCTTTCCTCTCTCATCCTCTTTCTTCTCCTGTCCATCCTCTCCCCTTGCCTCTGTCCTCCTCTTATGTCCCCTCATCTTTTTCACTCTCCTCCCCTTCTCCTCTCTTCTCACCTACATTCTTTTCTTTTCTTTCTTTTCCCCTACTTCATTAGAGCGAAAACAAATGGGCAGTCTGACTTGTGAAACAGAGAGGGAGGCAAACTCACACAGTCAGCAGGAAAGCCGGACTATGGAAAATAATGACACCGACTGCTACCGACCCCTTCAGGGACAGCTGGTGGAGTGAGGAAGAGTTACTCATCATAGTAATGGAGGAGAGGAGGGAGGGGAAGAGAGAGTAAAATGAGGGGTGGCCTTAAGGAAAACAAAAAAGAAAAGAGGATTCAAAGAATGACACAAACCAAGACAAACTAAAAGTAAAATTGGATAAAAAAAGGAAACAATAGAATGAGCCGGCTATTCCCTTTACAAATGCGCCCCCGAAAAAGTGTTTTGTGTAAGCAGTTTTGAAGTGTGCTCCCATTACCTGAATTGAGGCGGAGCGGCGTTTGGGGAACAGGTATGAGCACCGATGCCCCCCCCCCCCTAGATAGAGCAACCAGACAGACCTTGTTAAAAGAACAGACATCCCAATCAATACAGTCGTTCCACTGGTGCATCCAGCTGCCGGGGACGATACACAGATAGGCACGGCACAGCAATTTGCAGACATAAACAAGGGCCTAATTGTTCAGGGCCTGGAGGTTTGGAGTGAGGAAAACAAAGATGAAGTATGTCGAAGAGTTAGGAGGCATTTTAACTCTCGTTTAGGAAATGAGAGTTTGGAAGCCGGGCCAAACTTTCTCTGATGAGTGTTGTTATTGTGAACGGTGGGGATTCTCGGTTTAAAAGGTAGCTAAAGCGAAGGGAGGTGGGGGGGGGGGGGGGGAATTAGGAGAAAGATGCACGGCATCAGGTGTAATACGGGCAGCCTCCCTGGCTCCCGTTTCCCCGGCTTTGGTCGGAGCCGAACTTTCAAAGTCGAGAAAGTAGTCTGAAAAGAGTCATTTGCTGTTTGTGATTTTCGGTGTAATCTCGGAGTCTCATCCCCACACAGAAGAGCTGTATTGATTGGCGGTCTTAACTGGAGCCGCCTCCTGATCATCCCTTCATCTCGTTTCTAAAAGGCCAGGAGCCAGGGACAGTGAAGGAGATGAGGTGAAATAAAGTGAGACATTGACAGAGTTCACTGCGTATCTGAAGGGAATCTCAGCGTTGCCCTTCAACAGAAATCTACCAGACGCACGTAAACCTGACCTCACCCGGCTCACATACACACTCATGCGTTCCTTTGCCTTCTCTCGCCACCTTGTCCTCACTTTATTATATATATCTTTTTACCCCTTTTCGTCTCTCCCTCCCTTAGCCTCCTCCAAGCAAGGACAGCCAAGGTTGTTTGACTTTTTGGATGCTGCTCACATCTTTTGTTCATTCAATTACTTCATACAAGTTGCCCCCATCCCCCCTGTTGTTGTCTTCCAGCCTTTCCCCTTTTTTTCCTCCCCCTCCTCCTCCTCTTCCTCATCCAGTGCTGTTTACTCATCACAACGGAGGTCAACATAATCTCATGGAGTCATGGACAGACAGCAGACCAGACTCAGTGTGGTCTGGATACTTCAGACTTGCCATTCCTGATATGTTTTTGGGAATAATTTAATGTCTGGCTCAATGTTTTTATTTCAATTTTTCCGTCTCCCGGACTTTGAGAGAGACGGCAGGAGGTCACAGTCCATTTTTAGCCTTCGGGCGCGACATCTGTCTGTTTTGATGATGAATTAGCTATTTAATGCTAATGACATTGTAGCCCCCCCTCGTCTGTACAAATTGAATACATCCAGAGGAGCTTGTGAAATGTTGGCGGTAGGGGATCGATGGAGCCTCTGAGTGATGTCCAGTTTTATAATCTGCTGGGAACAGAGTAGCCACCATTGGATGTAAACGCTTTGAATACGTTTTTGAAGAGGAAAAATGACTCATGGCTGCTCGGTGAACATTTGAGAAAAAGAGCAAAACAATTCAGAAAACAAAGACATCCAGATGTATCATACTGTCAAAATGTTCTGTTTGCCCCTGACAGTGAATAGAACAAAAGGCTGAAATCTGTGTCCACGACGTCTCTCGTTGACCTTTTAAATACAGAAGAGCTTGACTTTGATTGCAGCGTCCTCGTGTGATTATTCAGAATTAACCTACAATTCAGAATAATCACTTTACAGGAGGTGGCGTCCAAACGTCGGGCTTCCAGATGAGGTCGCTGAGTATTGCTCACCGCCTCGTGTCTTTTTCCGGCCGGTCTGCAAATCCAACCCTCGCTCTCCTCGCTCTAAAGAGTCGCCATGAATTTTGTATCACGGTGTTCTTTGGGAGGACAGGGTCAAGCTGTCCTCATTCCTTATTTATTCTGAAGAACAAGGGAGTCAGGCGGGGCAAAAAAAATTAAACACAGTAGCTCTGTTGTGATTATCTTCAAGGAATTCTGCTTGTGTCTGACCTCCACTAAGCTGCCCTAGAATTTGTTGCAAAAGTTTTAGTGCGTCTGTCTGTCTGTCTGTCTGTCTGTCTGTCTGTCTGTCTGTCTGTCTGTCTGTCTGTCTGCCTGCCTGCCTGCCTGCCTGCCTGTCTGTCTGTCTTTTAGTTTACAGGACATTCAACAGGTCTGCTGTCTCTGGTTGTCTCTCTGCGTTTGTCTCTCCACCTCTCTCTCTCTCTCTCTCTCTCTCTCGCCTGCGTTTCTCTTTGTGTGTTTCTCACGACGCCGTCAATTTAACTCCTGATCAGAAAAAGTTTAGGGCTTCTGAAGGTTACGTCTTGAACTGTTGGATTTATTTTGACTCCAAATGTGTTATTTATTTGTCAAAATCCAGCGTGCGTGGTGAAGAGTCTCAGTGGACCCAGTCCGGAACAGACCTGTGGGAAACCCATCTGAACCCAAATTGATTAGATTAATATTTATAGATTTAAATGATATATTATTCATGAAGGAAAAACTCATCTGTAAGGGGCTTGAGGACAGTCAGTCCAAAATAGATCCAAAATGTGGTCAACTCGAACAGACCACTTTACAGCTCACTCTTTCCATCAAGTTATTTGTGATCACAGCTGATAGAGATTCCAGACCTGCTGCTATAGAATTTGATCTGGACTGAATCGGGTCCCTGCTTTTGGTAACTAGGAACTAGGTAACTAGTGGAAATGTGAGGCATTGTATCCTTTATTATATTGGATGTTATTTTAGTTTGATGAATATAGTGAAAAATCATATGAGAATATCATACAGCAATTAACAAAAGTTAATTGTGGCTGCATCAATGTTATTATTCTGGCGTTTGTTTCTTTTTACTCCAGATTTAATTTAATTCATCTTAAGGAAGCATTCTGTAGAAATGGATGAGTATGATACAAACAAATAAAACTAAGGCTAGTTTCACCATGTCACCGCAACAGCTCCCACTTTAATTAGCTTTGCTTTAGTTCTACCTAATAGATGGAGCCGTGATAGTGTTTTACCCAGACTAACACATCAATTGTGAAAAAGCCTCTTGAGTTATGGAATGTTTTCCTCCATTCTGCAGAGATAAGAAGGCCTGCGGGGGGGGGAGTGAGTTTGGGGGGCTGAGCCTCAGCCTCACACACATTCCTCTAGTTACCTTTGTCACGCGTGATGGAGTGTGGGGTTTACAAACCTGGCCTCCAGAACCTCTTTCTCTGACCCTGTTCAGTTGAGCCCCCATTCCTCCGCCTGTGAGTGTACGCACTGACACCCTGCTTTTTCACTTCTGCTGCCGTCTGATATTGTGCAGGGATGAGGGTGTGTGAGCGGGACCAGACCTCAGTTGTCGCAAGCGGTGCCTGACCTGTTTTTTTTTTTTTTTGTTTTTTTTTAAGCGCACACAGAGCCATGCACTGCAGATTACTGTGAGGGCTCTCTGAGACAAAATCAAAATGTTTGAGCTCAGGCTTTCCTCGGTAAAGAGCAAGTCTATTCCTTAAGCTTCCAATCCAGTGCATCGATAGTTCATTTAGAAATATCCTATCCTTTCAGAATAAGTTTGCGGCGACCTCTTTTCTGTCCCTACACTTCAGAAATCCTCTGCTTTCTTTTCCATTCACTCCCCTCGCCCTCCTTCCCCTCCCTCTTATCGGAGTAGGAGAACTATCCTTCAGTTGTCCAGTCACTCGTTTAGAAACTTTACAACTGGGGCTTTTCCTCTGAGCAGTTTAAAGAAGGCTATAAATCTGGCCTGTTTAAACCCTGACTTGTTTAAGCTGCCTTTTACTGAGACCTGATGCACTGCATTCTTCTGCTGCCTAAACAGGCTTTTTAAGCATTTACCCCAAATGTATTTACAGGTTGACTGATACACTCTCTACATGGGAGGAGACAGGGAACGGGGGGGTATTTGTCTCTCTTTATGCGCCTGGGACCACAGCAATGGCTGCCACATGGCCCAAGAAAACGTGGGGAAAGAAGAAGAAAAAAAAAGTAGTCTGCCCTGCAGACATGAATGAAAACAGAGGAAATAAAAAGAAATAGTGCAGTTTTCATTGAAGCTTTCTTTAGTCGTATATAAAAAGGACCACTGCACTTAGTTTTCTGATATCTGCGTGTATTTAGATACAGTTCTTAAGTTGTGCAATATCAATACTGTTGCGGCGTACACTACGGGTTCTGATATATTCAGAAGGAGTGGCAGCCGTATATTTTTTTAAGGCCGTCTACATCCTCAACTCTCTCTTTATTCCACTTCCCTACCTTGATTGCTAAGAGCACTTACAGGGTGTTCTCACCACGCCAGTCTAATATGATATGCATCTTTGTGTTTGTGTATCTGATTATCGATTTACAACCCTGTTCTTCTTTTTCCCACTGAGAATGGGAACTGCAGCCGCATTAGTCACCTTTATGACGCGCTTTACAGCACTGCTTACTAGGGGAAGGCCCGGGGCTTGCGGTAAATGTATATTTTAGCGTAGTGATAGAGTGCATTTGCATCAGAGGATCAGACTTAAAAGAAAAAAAGAGCTCAGTGTTAAGAAAAAGAGCAGATAAGAGGACTCCCCACGAGAGAACAGAGGTCACCTCGGGATCGCGCTGTCGCTTCCCTTAATTAAGCCGTCACATGCAGAAAGTAGAGGAGCTGTTGACACACACACACACAACCCATGTAACCTGTTCACGTTTACTGTACAGCCTGTTCAAATAAAAGGTGCTTTTTTGCCGAGTGGCGTATCAGACATGCATCTTTTTGTTTCCCCCTCATTCCTCTCTTGTCCTCTTGTAAACCCTGACAACGGCACATCACCCGTCAGCATGCATTACGCCGCACTTAGATCTGCAGCGCCGCATCTTTGAAGTTAAAATGGGGGGAAAATATCATAAGTATAGGCCTCGCTCCAGATAGCTATATGGCTGTGCTCCCAGATGCTTCCCAGAGATTAGGACCGTCAGTGAGTAGTGATCTGCTCTATCATATGGCTCCCCTACAGACTTGGCAGCAGGCTGGGAGGAGGAGTGGTACAGTAAGTACGCTGGATGAGGACTGCATGGGGTAAAAAATCTCCCTGCCAGAGCCAAATATATTTAAAGCACCATTCCTGACAACAGACGCAACAGCGGTTTCCGACAGCATTTTTTATAGCCTATTTAGCCTAGCAACCGAATGTCGTTTTGCCTGTTTACAAAGTTTCACTCTGGGAAGAAACTGCTGAATCACCGGTTTTCAAGTCATGTGGCACGACCGCTGTAACCAGAGGACTCGGCCAGCCAGTTACCCGCAGCATTTGGTCCGACCTTCATGTCCTAACACCAGCCTCTGAGCCGCAAATACCAAGCAGGTGTGGTGATGTCATCGCGTCTCAGTCAACATACCACAGAGCCATGCAGAGGGCACACACAGCCTTGTTCTGGAAAGACAACAGGGGTTGCAGCTTGGAACTCTGGGAACTTGCTCGGAGAGGGTTTCTTTTAGAGGACGCTGTTGTTTTTAGGCCTGAAAAGATTTACAGTAACTCAGTTAGGAGGAGAGTTAATGGATGCTGTGATGCATAAATGCTTCCGTTAACTGATTTTCTGTCAACAAGATTTTCTATCCGCCGGCAATAAAATGTTTTAAAAATGAGCGCAGGCATATGTCATTCTGAGAGGCCAATTAATCAAACCAGGTACAATGAGTTTCTGTGCCGTGTTGTAACCGTTTCAAACGTATACAGGCTTGGATTTGATTGATAGTAAAATCATTTCTTCTCTTCAACCTGATTGGCTTTTTCCCTCTCCCATAATACGCTGTTTGAATTCCAATCATTTGACGCCTGCTGCACGTGTCGGTAATTAACATTTAAAAATGATCTGAAAGTGTTTTTGCTGCACACAGATTTGTATCAACAAGGTCAGTGCGATAGCTGTTCTTCTCATGATTTCCATCAAAGTGATCTTGGTGCAACTCAAACATTTAGCGTTGCTGCAACCGGCAATTAGGAGAGTGATTCAGCGTTTTTGATTGGGAGCTCAGCAAGTGGATCCGCAGTAAATTAGCATTAATGAATGTTATGGCCTCGCATCAGTTTGACAGGTCTATTCTTTAGATTTGTTTTAATTGTAATTAAGCCCTGATTAACGAGCTGGGGGATGTTTCATTCTCTTTTCAAGAATATAGTGTAATATGTTATGAAGGCAATCAGGGGTTTGTCATTTTATCTGCTAATGAGGCTCAGCCATATGTCACAACAAACTTTGTCTCTGGAGCAGCAGCGATCGGAGGACCTCTGTGAAGACAATGTGCGGCCATCTTTGTAGGCAAACTACAGGTTCGCCCCCTGTTGCTCAGGGCTCAAGGCGCTGACCATGAACCGTTTAGGACGCCGGTTTCCTGCTATCTCTCCACTACCGCTAACTAACAAAGGCTTGAATATCACTCAAAAGTAATTATAAAGAAGAAAAACAAACAGGTGTGAGGTTAATCTATCATCTCATAAAAGCTAATGATGACTATTTGGAGCCAGTTGCTAAATTTGTTGAAAAGGATCCAATGGTGGTCACACCACACAGTCAATGAAAAGCTCATGATTCAAGAGAGTATTTGGTCAGACACATGGGTCAAATCGTGAAAAAAGGGAAAGACAGAGAGTACATTAATCCTTGCCTCTGAGAAACACTGCTTGTTATTAGAACCGACTTCCTTTCTTTCCTTTGCCAGGATTTATTAAACCTTTCTCTCCAAAGAATGAATATAAAAAAAAACCAATGTGCTTCAACTGAAAAAACAACAGAGTTTTCAACCAGCTTCCCTAAAGCACAGAGAATCAGAAGATGTAGCCGTATGATAAACAATAGAAATGTCCATTTGTTCAAGCTCCAGCAGCTTGAACAATTCTCTTGTCATTAGTCAAGTTTCCAATGCATGAGTGTCTCCATCTACTGTGAAGCAAATATTAGGAGTTCAAGATAAACAGTTGGTGGCACTAAATCTACAGCCTGCTGCCATTCAACCACTGCAAAAAGAAGAGGACGCAAAGAGATGACCAAATTCAAAAAGTCAGACCTCAAACCAGTGAAGATGACGTGTAAAACTTGATGGAATTATGGCTCCATACTGATCTGATGCTTCCTCTCTTCAGTGGAAGTCACCTGCTTCCTACATGTCATGACTTATTTGCCAAATCTGCTTGGCGAATCATTTTTTACAGCATTTCCACTCATATTTCTTGTGAAAATTTGCATCAAAACAGTTTGATTGAAGCGCTCTTGTACCCATAACATACGCTCCACGGGTTACTTCTGGTCCAGCCGGGGATCTCATGAAATAATGTAGATTTCAAGAAAAGGCCCTTTTTTTTGTTCTTTGATTATTATATTCTCTTTTGTGCCCTATTGTATGTGAATACACATCCAGGGTGTAATATCCAAAATGACCCCCGTCATGGTCGACCAGTATTGTCAACATTATCGCTTCGCTTGTCGAGTTTGATCTTCTCGGCACAAGAGGGTTTGTTTTGTAAAAGTGTCAGTTTGGAATTCTCACTTTATCTCATAATATGGTGAATTCTTTAAGGCAATATCCTGAACCACTGTTTTATTAATGCATCAGCTTTGCCAATGAATCATTGAACACAGCACGTAGAACTGTTGCTGGAATTTATTGCCGATTTGAATGCACCTTTCAGCGGTGTAGATGTCGGAGGGTTATTATTTCAAATGTAAAAGCCCTCTGCCAGTCTGCGTCTCTTCCACGCTGACTGGAGAGAGAACTGAGGCCGGACAGTTTTTTTGGCACTTGTTTCGCAGAATTGCCTCTCAGCGTCTGATCAGGGGAAAAAAAGAGATGAGAATCAGAAAGACTTTTCGACCCTGCGGTTTTGATTATATCTTATTTTTCTTGCATCGACGGTATCCTGAAAGAGTCTGTCAATCCTCTGTGTGTCGGCGTCAAGCACCCGCACTCCAGCTCGCTGTTTCTTCTTCTGGCGATCAAAGCGGAAGGCTGTTGTTGCTTCTTAGTCTTCTTGAATTTGCTTGTGCTGAACAGTTTCCATCTTCCCTCTGTGACCGGGGAAGAATCGGTGGTCTGTTCACAAAGAAGGCTTATTCCTCTCTCTCTGATTCTGCTGGTTTTATCCCGACTCTGTCCGTTTGTTCTCTCAATTGTCTCTACTTGACAAGGAATAGGCTGATACCCACCACTTAAAGAAGTTGTGTTCATTGAAGAGAAAGACAGAAAATGTCAACCAGAGCAGATCAGAACCCGAGCAAGAGCCAGGGAGCTGTTACCCCGGCGAGACTTCTCTTCCAGAAAGCACAGCAACCTAAGGGCTCTGGGGCACTGAGCTCGGGGGAAACTGTGAAACACTTTGTCACTGCTTTGGCAACAACGGATGACTGTGTGCTCAACATGTGTGCGAGTGTTTAAACATCATTTCCCCTGGAAAGTGTCATGCTCGCGGGTGGGCGGGGGGGTTGGTTCTGGGTGGGTTGCGGTTAACCCCTCAAGGTCTCCAGGGTTACTCTGCCTCTGGTCTTTGTCAGATTCTCAGGCGTTCTCACTCTTGGCTCTCGGTGACGGTCTGACGGAGTGTTAGCCTGGCGAAGGAGTGCGGGAGTGGCTAATAGCTGCTCGTCTTTCTAGTCCTCTGAGAACACGGAGGCCTCATTAGCCTTGTGAGCTCAGCCGTCCTCTGGTGCCGAACCCATCGCTATCGTCCAGCTGTGTGTGTGTGTGTGTGTGTGTGTGTGTGTGTGTGTGTGTGTGTGT